AAGGCCTTCCATCTCCATACTTTCGGTGCAGAGGTGATGTGAATTACATCTCTCCCGTTATCTAGCCCATGGGGCTGCCACGTCCTTCCCCGTCCTCTCCTTCGGCGAGCCAGACTCTCTCTTCCCTCGCTCCCACCGGTTTAATCCCCAGTTCTTGCTGGAGTTGCAGCATCCCTTTCCAGTCTGCCTGGGTCCAGCTGGGGTGGCCGGAGAGGACAGCAGTGCCCGACCATGGCTGGAGCTCCCTGGCTCCCGTCGTCCATCCCAGCTATGGGTGACACCTCGCTCCAAGCCCCGGCTCCTGGGTGCTAAGCCACAGTTACAGCCAGACAGTTGCTTTACTCTCGTTTTTCTTGGGGCTTCTAGGTCTTGCCTTGACTTAGTTCAAGGAAAAGGTCAGCCCTGTTTTGTAGGTGTCTTGATGGTCTCCCAGCCCATGTCCTAGCAAGGTAAAAGGGAGGTGGGTTCATCTGCTCGACCGTCCCCTCCAGGCTCACGCGCTTCTCACGGCGGTGACATCCGCCTCCGCAACGGCAGGAATTGACCTTCACGTCGCTGCTCGTAGGCTGAGCGTGAAGCAAGACAGGGCTGGTCCAAGCCAGGGGTAGGAAAAAAGACCACGGAGCCACCGCAGGCGTTGATCAGCCCTTGGCTGCTGTAATCAGCGTGGAGGGATGTTGTTTGCTGGGAAGGTGTCACCTGCGGCAGAGGGCTGTGCAGCCGGCGTCTCAAGCCCGAGGTGCCCTGGATGCCCGAGGAGCTCCGTGCTGCCCTCGCTGTGAGCTGGCCTCGAGCATCAGCCGAGGGCTCGCAAACTCCTGGGGCATCCGCAGGGACAGGCAGGGGGACATCCGCACAGTCCAGCCACCCATCCCCATCCACCGTCCCCCGGGGCATCACGATCACGTTGCCGTGACCCCCTGGACAAGCCGGTGACCTCAGTGCCCTGTGCTGGCAGCATCCCGGGGGGGGACACCCCACATCACCCAGAGTTGGGGCCAAGAGGGTTTTTACACCCAAGTAACACCCGAACTGTGGGAAAGGGACCCAACTCGGTGGAGAGAGTGGGTTGTTGGGGAGATCTCTGGCTCTGCCTATGGGGGAACCTCTGGCTCTGTCTGTGGTCCCCCTGGAGCATCCCTCCGCCCAGGTGTGGGGCTGCTGGCAAGGCGCTTTCGGAGCCCTGATTTAAACCCAGCTGACTGGGATGGGGATGCATCCTGCAAGCATTCAGCTCCCTCCGCTTGTTCACGCTGGATGCTGCCGAGAATTAAATGGGAATTAAAGCTCCGTGGCAGCACCGTTTCTCCCGTGGCCGGACAGCCGAACCCCGAAGAAGAAATCACCAGGGGTCCGGCTGTGTCCCCAAAGTTCTCACCCACCTTGTCCCCTTGGGGGGTGGATGTGGCCCTGGACCCGCGTTCCTTGGAGCACTGAGGCTGCCGCTCTGCCCGCAGCAGAAGGGTTATCCTGACGGATGGCACGCGGCAGCGGCTGCCTGCACTCCTCCTGCCCTGCCTGTTTCCATCCTGGAAGGTGGCTGCAACCCATCAAACTGGTGTGTTGGTACAGGGGTATAAATATAGAGCTTGCAAAAAGTGGACTTTGCTGGGGAAAAATAGAAAAAAATCAATTAAAATGCACATCGGAAGACCCAGGGCAGCGTCTTCCATCAGATCTCCAGCCAGTTTCCCATGCCAGGCAGGATTGATTTTCCTCGTTCCCACCTCACCCCCCAAGTTTTCTGTAGGGAGATGGATGGGGCACGGGGCAGGAGGGTGCGGGAGCCGCCTGAGGACCCACAGCACGTCAGCGACGGAGCCAGGGACAGACACAAAGGTCCCCAAGACCCAGCCCATGGCACGACCCACCCAGGGCTGTTGCCACCAGCCACCGGCTTCGTCAGAGGAGCTGCTGGCAGCGAGATGAGGGAAGGGAAAGGAAGGAGAGGGGGAAGGAAAAGCTCCTTCTGTCTGGGAGCCAGCAATGCCCTGTGCCGGCCGGGAGCAGCTCGCTCTCCGGGAGCTGGTAACGGCAGCCCTTGTCCCCCATCGGCCACGCTTCACCTCCGGGACTTGCACAAACCTGGGTGAACCAGGACTTGGGGCAGGGACACACAGACATCCCCCGGTGCTTAAAGCACAGTCCCACCACAGAGCCAGTCACTCACACCACATGCTGCTGCCTCAGTTTCCCCACCTGCGAAGCAGACGAAATGATGCCCTGGGTTAGGACGTTGATTTTTTCCCCTACAGACCTTAACTCTTCGCAGAGAAGGGATGGGTCTGGGGTGGGGGGGCTGCTGGGTCCTGCCGGTCCCTGCCATGCCCACCCGCATCCCTGCTGCCGTCATCCTCCGAGCTGCATCCCTCCCCTGCCCACTGGGAGGACGCTGGGGAGATCTGATCCTCTTTCTTCTCCCTTGCAGGCACCACCTCCCAGCCCGCGCTGTTGCCATTCCCAGGTGAGACTGCTCTCTTAAAGTCGCTTTTCTCTAGGAAGTTTTGCAGTTGAAAAATGCATCTTTTGGTGAAAAATGGGGTTTGGCGAATTTCAAAAGTGAAGCATATTGGTTTGGAACAAGGAGCGGCAGCAAAAAGCGAAACTTCTTTTACAGAAAGGAAATAGAGATTCTTTATTATCCTTATTCCGCTTATTATCCTGAGAGGGAAATTTTGCCACCTCCTGCTGAGTCCCTGTCCCTGTGCCATTTGTCACACCCGAGCGAATAATTCCCTTGACGTGGCAGGCCAGGGGCGCTTACACGCCTGCTCCCCATCGCCGGCAGCTTGAGAGATCATCTCCATCCCACCAACTCCCATGTGGGACCAGCTCCGGACACATTCATTGAGGCTAACAAGAATTTGCTAATTGCATCTCATCACTTGTCACCCAAGTCATATGGCATTACGTGATGTCATGTGTCTGCTTTCCTCTTCTCCCGGTGGGTTATTGCCAAGGTCATTAGTAGGCAAGATGATGGGGTGATGGTGCATCTCATTTATGCATTGACATGTGTTGAGTCCTCATGTCCACTGCTTCCAGCAGAAGAAGAGAAGCCCACGCCCCACCATCAGGTGGGCAGAACCAAGCCCACAGATGCCTTGTGCTACAGTGAAAGGTCACTATTTTAAGATTTGGTGCAGACAGGGCTCCTGGCCACCCCATGACACCCACCGAGTGTTTGCCACCTCCTGGCCCCGGGGCAGGCTCGTTGCCTGCTAAGGGACCTCTCTCTGCCCGTTCTTGCAGAGATACGGCTTGCCAACGGGCCCAGCCGGTGCCAGGGGCGAGTGGAGATCCTCTACAACGGCTCCTGGGGGACAGTCTGTGATGATGACTGGGACATTGTGGATGCCAACGTGGTGTGTCGCCAGCTGGGCTGTGGCCATGCCATCACCCTCCCGGCCGCCATGACCTTCGGCCAAGGGAGTGGACCCATCTTCTTGGACAACGTGGACTGCAAGGGCCGGGAGGCAGCCTTGAGCGAGTGCTGGAGCCACGGCTGGGGCATCCACAACTGCTACCACTACGAGGACGTGGCTGTCGTATGCAACGGTAATGAGGTTGGGTTCCTCGGGGGCAAGGAGAGCAGGGGGGGGACCCCGCGGTGCTGCAAGTCCTGGTGTCTGCAGGCACCTTGGGGGAGCCCAAGAGTCATATCTCAGAGCACGTTCCTCTGAGCCTGGGTCAGCCAACCCTCCCCTGCCACCTTCCTCCACCCCTTCCCTCAATCCGGGTCATCTCCCAGCTCAGTGCCGTGCTCCATAGGGTGACCGGCCTGACTTGTGTTCCCCGTCACTCCCAGCTCAGGGACTTTGCAGCCTCTCCGGCACCATCCCTGGGGAAGGAGCACAAGCCCACCCACGTTCCTGCCTCTGACTCAGCCGCTGCCCAACTGCTCTTTCCCCTTTCGACTTGCCTTTCGTTAAACTGCTGAGCTTGTCAGTGGGAAACGTTCCTAAAGGTGAGAAAAGCAGTGGAAAGCGTTTGAACTCGGCATGGGAAAGTGGAACGGCTCCGTGCTGACCCATATATGCCCTACACGTCCCTTCTGCACAGCTACGCAGGGTTTGCTCATCAGCCACGCGTCAACGGCCGGTAAACGTGAGGATGGGCAGCCCCAGAGCTCAGCCACGGCTGCAAGTGTTGGGTGAATCCCCGTGTCCTGCAGAAGCGGAGCTTGGAAAGGGAGGGATGCTGGGTTGGCTGGTGGGTTGGACCAGCCGTAACCAGAGAAAAGAGGTCATGGACCGAGCAGGAACCCTGAACCAAGGCGTTGCTGGAGAGGAGAGGTGGAAGGATTGAAGAAGGAGGTGCGGGAGATGGGTCTGAGGGCAGAGGAGCCGCTTGAGCCATCAAGTGTTTCTAGCTTGGCTGGTGAAGGAGACCGGGAGGTGCCCTGGGGTGGCCCTCAGAGGAGACGCAGGAGTTTGACCCAAGCGCCAGAGGCCTGGGGAAGGTGCTCCCACCCGTGCCACGTGGAAGCTTTTAAGAGCCAGCTTTCTGCCGGCTGTGGTTAGGGAGGAAAGCATGGAGCCAGCAGCTTTTCACTGTGTTGGTGGGCTGGGTTTCCCGGGATACTTCCCGCAGCCCCTGGGCACGCGTGCGGCTGGCTATCGGACTGCTCGGCTCCGCTCCCGTCCAGCTCCCCGCACCACCCCCAGATAATTTCACCAGCCCAGCCCAGGAGCTGGGACACGAAGGGCAATACGGTAGCTTGAAACAACCTTGTTAGCGAAAGAAATATAGGTAAAACCAGCAGGAAAATCAGAATATTACTGTTTTTTTTTTCTATATATATATGTCACGACTTTGACTCCAGATCCCATGATAGGTGGGAGCCTGACTCCCCACAGCTCAGCGCAGCGTCCAGCTCCTCACGCCTTGCCACCGGGCACAACGTCCCACCCTGCCAGCAGCCGAGGCGCTGCCTCCATCCGCCTTCCTGCCCCTACAACCGGGCAGATAAGCTCTGGGCAGGGTGATACGACTGCAAACCCCTCTGCCTTTCCCCATCGGGGCCGGTTTGGCACAAACCCTCTTGCTTTCCGTGCTGCCTGCTTGCCAGCGCGTGTGCACGCTGAGCGCCGGTGCCGGGGGAGCCGTGGGGCGGGCGGCGCGCGGGGCACTCCTCGCCGACGGCTTCTGGATGGTTCGCCGCGGGCAGAAATGGATGGCACCTCTCTGCTTCGCTTTTCAGAGCTCTCGCCCACACAAGCCAGCGAAGGACCCACAAGCAGGACCCTCACAGCCTCGGTACAGGATGGGGAAAGTAAGCTGCTCAGCCACTGCTTGCAGGGTCCCCCACCTTCCCACCCCCCCACTGTCACCCGCTGCCCTTCCATGAAGCCCCCAAACTCTCCGGCTCTGAGGGGCAGAGCCTTGGGGACCCCATCGTTGCACCAACCATGGCCAAACCCCATCCCAGAGGCTCACCAAGGGCTGGGCTGCCCTAAAGCATCGCCCCTTCCCCGCCGTTCCTCGCCCGTTTTTTTTGCCATTATGGGCACCGCAGGGTCCAGGCTCGGTGGCATCGCTGTGCCGTGGCGTTGTGCGGTGACCTCCTGGGAACAGCAATGTCCTTCTCACCCTCCAGGTGACGGCAGCATCCGTCTGGTGAGCGGGACCGACACCTGCCAAGGCCGGGTGGAGATCTTCTACCGGGGGAACTGGGGCACCGTCTGTGACGATGACTGGGGCCTGAGCGACGCCAGCGTGGTGTGCAAGCAGGTGGGCTGCGGCCAAGCCCTGGATTACAAGAGCAATGCCTATTTCGGCTACGGCACGGGGCGCATCCTCCTGGACAACGTCAACTGCGACGGCAGCGAACCCTTCCTCTCCGCCTGCTACAGCCTCGGCTGGGGCATCCATAACTGCGGCCACCACGAGGATGCCGGGGTCATCTGCACAGGTACCGGGGCAGAGCATCACCTTTGGGGCTGTCCCCTGAGAAGGGGGAAAATCCAGGGACACCCTGGTCTCCAAGGAGAAATGGCCTCGGAGAGATCACAGCATCCCAGACTGGTGAGGGCTGGAAGAGCCCTCTGGAGCTCCCCCATCCCACCCCCCGCCAGAGCAGGGGCACCTCCAGCAGTGGCACAGGACGGCGTCCAGGCGGGTTTGGGATGGCTCCAGAGTGGGAGGCTCCCCCACCTCTCTGTGCAGCCTCTGCCACTGCTCTGCCGCCCTCACAGCAGAGAAGGCCCTCCTCAGGTTGAGATGGAACTTCCTACGTTCGAGTTTGTGCCCGTTCCCTCTTGTCCTGTCACTGGGCACTGCTGGAAACAGACTGTTCCCATCCCCCTGGCACCCTCCCTTGAAGGATTTATAAGCATTGATAAGATCCCCCCTCAGTCTTCTCTCCTCCAGACTAAAAAGCCCCAATTCCCTCCGCCTTTCGAAGATGCTGATGTGCCCCAGGTCAGGCAGGGAGCCGGGCTGTGCTCTGCGGGAGCATCCTTTCTCCTTATCTGCCCTCATCCCCGGCGCTCCGGAGCAGGCTGCGACACCACGCCGAGAGCCTGGGACACGGCCCGAACAGCAATTTCCGAGGGAAACGCATCTGCCCGCCTGCCGTTTCCCTGCTCCGCCGGCTGGAAAACAAGCTGCCCGCGTCCGGAAGGAGCGAGCGGCTGCCAGGGGCCGGGCACGACGCCAAGCCCAGCCTGCCTCCCCTTCCCCTCCCGAAATGATGTATTTCTGCCATTCTCCGCTGATTACCATTTATAATGTTAATAATCCCCCTGAATTCCCTCATTATCCCGGCTAATGACGGGAGCAGTAAGTGCCAGCGCTTTCCCTTTCCCACTATTACCGAACAAAGGGGCTGATGCGGGAGAAAAGGGCCGATTTTCTCAGGATGGTCCTTTCCTCCCTTCACGTCCCCCTCCTCTCTGGCACTTCGCCCGGGCACGGAGCCAACGGCACCGCCGCGCACGGCCCTTGATCGGTGGGGCAGGGGGAAAAAACGAAGCTTTAGAGTTAACGAACCCTGTCCCAGAAACCTCCCAGGGGTGAAGGGAGAAGAAAGAAGAAAGGGACCCCTCGGCGCTGCAGGTGGGACCTCAGCGCTTGGGTTGGGGTGGAGAAGCACCATCTCCAGCACGTGGGCAGCAGGGATGTGCAGGTGGACACGGGTCATCTCCATCCCCATCGCCCCGGAGCACCCGGACCACCCCGGGGCCACCTCCCGGAGTCAGCGAGTTCATGGCTTTGGCAGCTTCTCCCTTCTGTCTCTCTGTGTCACCGCAGGGCTGGACAGGTCCACCATCACGTCCTTCACCACCTCGGTGGCTCTGGACTACGAAGAGACGCTCACTGCCACGGCCACAGGTAGGAGGAGGTCAGCAGCCACCCAGCTCATCCTTGCACCATAGCCAGGGCTGGGAGCTCACTGGGAGGGGGGACAAGTCTTCTGTGTCCTCCCGTGACCCCAGCACGGTCACCCTGGGCTCCTGCCGCACGTAGGTGAGGCTCGGGGGGTTGACGTTGCCCATGGCAGAAGCTTGCCATGGGGCCAGCGGGGTGCTAGAGGCACCAGCCGGATTGGGGGCAGCGAGTGCTGGAGCTGGAATCCCACCAACGCCCACGTGTCCCCACGCTTGTCCCAGCAGCGACGGACGACAGGAACCAGCCCTCCCAGGCCACCGAGCTGGTCACCACCGCTCTCCTTACCGTCGAGCAGGAAAGTAAGTGCGGCCGCCGCTCATCCTTGCACAGGGTCCGGCACGGCCCCCGGGGCTCCACATCCCTGGGGGGTTACCCCATATCCCCAGGGCTCACCCCACAGCCCCAGGAGTTACCCCATGCTCCCGCGGGACCTTCCACACCCCCTGGTTTTCCCTCATTCTCCGAGGGCTCACTCCACATTCCCAGAGGATCTCCGGCCCCGCACAGTTCACCCCACGCTCCCAGGGCTCACCCCACGCCACCAGGGAGTCCCACCCATCCCCCCAGGTTGTACCCCACCTCCCCAGGGCTCTCGTGTCCCCAGGAGTATCCCGCGGAGTTCCATCCCCAGCAGTCACCCTACATCCTCAGGGCTCACCCCACATCCCCAGGGCTCACCCCACATCCCCAGGACTCACCTTATGTCCCCAGGGACTCACCCCACAACCCCAGGAGCTCCACCCCACGTCCCCAGAGCTCACCTCACGCCCCCAGGGGGTTGGTTTTGTGTCCCCAGGGGTTATCCCACATCCCCAGGGGCTCACCCCACATTCCCAGGGGGTTACCCTGTATCCCAGGGACTCACCCCACATCCTCAGGGCTCACCTCACGCCCCCAGGGGGTTGGTCCCATGTCCCCAGGGGTTATCCCACATCCCCAGGGGCTCACCCCACATTCCCAGGGGGTTACCCTGTATCCCAGGGACTCACCCCACATCCTCAGGGCTCACCTCACGCCCCCAGGGGGTTGCGTCCCCAGAGTCTCACCCCATGTCCCCAGAGGCTCACCTCATGCCCCCAGGGGGTTGGTCTCATGTCCCCAGGGGTTGCCCCATACCCTAAAGACTCACCCCACCTCCCCAGAAGCTCACCCCATATCCCCAGAGCTCACCTCATGCCCCCAGGGGGTTGGTCTCATGTCCCCAGGGGTTATCCCACATCCCCAGGGACTCACCCCACATTCCCAGGGGTTACCGCATACCCCAGGCACTCACCCCACATCCCCAGGGGCTCACCCCACCTCCCCAGGGGCTCACACCACATCGCCAGGGCTCACCTCATGCCCCCAGGGGGTTGCTCCCATATCCCCAGGGTTTATCCCACATCCCCAGGGGCTCACCCCACATTCCCAGGGGGTTACCCTGTATCCCAGGGACTCACCCCACATCCCCAGAGCTCACCTCACGCCCCCAGGGGGTCGGTTTCGTGTCCCCAGGGTTTATCCCACATCCCCAGGGGCTCACCCCACATTCCCAGGGGGTTACCCTGTATCCCAGGGACTCACCCCACATCCTCAGGGCTCACCTCATGCCCCCAGGGGGTTGCTCCCATATCCCCAGGGTTTATCCCACATCCCCAGGGGCTCACCCCACATTCCCAGGGGTTACCCCGTATCCCAGGGTCTCACCCCACCTCCCCAGGGGCTCACCCAACATCCCCAGAGGCTCACCCCATGTCCCCTGGGCTCACCTCATGCCCCCAGGGGGTTGGTCCCATGTCCCCAGGGGTTATCCCACCTCCCCAGGGGCCCACCCCACATTCCCAGGGACTCACCCCACCTCCCCAGGGGCTCACCCCACATTCCCAGGGGTTACCCCGTACCCCAGGAGCTCACCTCACGTCCCCAGAGTCTCACCCCACATCCCCAGAGGCTCACCTCATGCCCCAAGAGGGTTGGTCCCATGTCCCCAGGGGTTGCCCCATACCCCAGGAGCTCACCTCACGTCCCCAGAGTCTCACCCCACATCCCCAGAGGCTCACCTCATGCCCCCAGGGGGGTTGGTCCCACGTCCCCAGGGGTTACCCCATACCCCAGGCTCTCACCCCATATCCCCAGGGCTCACCCCATGCTCCCTGGGGGCTGACCCCATGCCCCCAGAGGGTCAGCGCTGGGGGGATATCAGACCCCCCACGGAGCCCCGGTCCCCCCGGCGGCATGCCTGTGCCGGGGCCCCCCACGCAGGTGGCGGCGTACGGCTGGCGAACGGGAACGGGA